AAAGGGGGGACATTCCCCTCTCGGGGGCCGAGCCCCTCTGCCAGTAGAAGGACACGGTCGGCGCCGGGGCGGGGAGAGGGCAACCAGGTGGCGACCGGGAATTTTGGGGAGGGGCATACCAGGATGGGTAGGAACCACACCAGGAGATCCGGGGAAGGGGAGCTGGGGGGAAAATGCAGCGGGGAGAGGCTGACACCGGTACGCGGGGTGTGGGGTGGTGGTGGGACCCGCTCCATCCCGCTCCGCCCGCCCGGTACCTGCGCCAGGTGAGCGCCGCGGGGTCCGCAGCGCCGCTCGGCCCGGCTCGGCCCCGCTCGGCTCGGCTCGGCTCGCGCTCGGCCCCGCCGAGCTCGGCTCCGGCTCGGCTCGGCTGGGGCGCGGGCGGGGCCACGGGGGCGGGGCCAGACCCTCCCTCCCGCCCCGCCCCGCCCGCGGCAACGTCGCCATGGCAACCGCGGCACCGCAACGGCACCGCTGCGCCGCCAGGGGGCGCTGAGCGCCCGGGGGGCGGGGCCCGCAGGGGAATGGCGGGAGTTGAGGGGGGGGTAGAGTTGGGAACACGGGGATGGGCACTGGGATGGGCACAGGGATGGGCACTGGGAATCACACACAGGGATGGACACAGGGATGGGCACTGGGATGGGCACTGGGATGGGCACTGGGATGGGCACAGAGATGGGCACTGGGAATCACACACTGGGATGGACACAGGGTGGGCACTGGGAATCACATTGGGATGGGCACAGGGAATCACACACTGGGATGGACACAGGGATGGGCACAGGGATGGACACAGGGATGGGCACTGGGATGGGCACAGGGATGGGCACAGGGATGGGCACTGGGAATCACACACAGGGATGGACACAGGGATGGGCACTGGGATGGGCACTGGGATGGGCACTGGGATGGGCACTGGGAATCACTGGGATGGGCACAGGGATGGGCACAGGGAATCACTCGGATGGGCACAGGGATGGGCATAGGGATGGGCACAGGGAATCACTGGGATGGGCACTGGGAATCACTGGGATGGGCACAGGGATGGGCACAGGGATGGGCACTGGGAATCACTGGGATGGGCACAGGGATGGGCACAGGGAATCACACAGGGATGGGCACTGGGAATCACACACTGGGATGGGTACAGGGAATCACTGGGATGGGCACAGGGATGGGCACTGGGATGGGCACAGGGATGGGCACTGGGATGGGCACTGGGATGGGCACTGGGATGGGCACAGGGATGGGCACAGGGATGGGCACTGGGAATCACACACTGGGATGGACACAGGGTGGGCACTGGGAATCACATTGGGATGGGCACAGGGAATCACACTGGGATGGATATTGGGAATCACTGGGATGGGCACAGGGAATCACACACTGGGATGGGCACAGGGAATCACAGGGATGGGCACAGGAATGTACACATGGATTCACACATGGATGTGCACATGGATGCACACACACGTGGATGCACAGCTGGATGCACACAGACACGGATGCACACACACACACACATGGATCCACATACACACACAAGGATCACACACAGATCCCACCATCAGACACAGGGACATCAGCACAGGGACCACCAGGGTCCCCCCACCCCACCCCTGGGGGCACCTGTGCCCGCCTGCCAGGGCCTGACCCCGGAGCTGCAGAGCCGACAGCACCTTCGGGAAGGGCAAAGCACTCCTGGACGCCAAAACCTGCTCCCAGCTGGGAGAGCAGCACCCTGCCCCCTTCCCTCACAACCCCCAGCCCCAAATCTCAGCCCCCCAGGTGCCCCGGGTGACAGCACAGCCTGGCACGGAGCGGGGACACAGCCCCACTTCACTGGGGAAACCCAGGCACAAAACCAGCTGCAGCAAACCAGCACCTGCCCATCCTGCCAGCACACCCCCTGCACCCCCACCTCCATCCCTGCCTGCATCCCAACCTTCATCCCTGCCTGCATCCCAACCTCCATCCCTGCCTGCATCCCAACCTTCATCCCTGCCTGCATCCCAACATCCATCCCTGCCTGCACCCCCACCTCCATCCCTGCCTGCATCCCAGCATCCATCCCTGCCTGCATCCCAGCATCCATCCCTGCCTGCATCCCAGCATCCATCCCTGCCTGCATCCCAACCTCCATCCCTGCCTGCATCCCAGCATCCATCCCTGCCTGCATCCCAGCATCCATCCCTGCCTGCATCCCAGCATCCATCCCTGCCTGCACCCCCACCTCCATCCCTGCCTGCATCCCCACCTCCATCCCTGCCTGCATCCCAGCATCCATCCCTGCCTGCATCCCAACCTCCATCCCTGCCTGTATCCCAACCTTCATCTCTTCCTGCATCCCAACCTCCATCCCCACCTGCCCTCCCCCTCGTGCCCCCCTCGTGCCCCACACCCCACCTGTGCCCCCCTGGGGGCTGCTGGGGGTCCCTGGGGTCCCTCGGGGCCGAACATCCGCGCTGCCTCTTATTTATTCATTCCAAAGTCGGATTTATTCTGGGCAGCTGCAAATCTGCTGCTGTCAGGCAACCACCACGTTCCCCACACTCAGCTCCAGCCTTTTCCTGGTTTTTGGTGGGGTTTTTTCCCCTCTTTCCCTGCAGCACAACCGGACGAGCCGCAATCCAAGCACTCTGGACCCTTTTTTTTCTGGGAGCAGAGCGAGGGACACCTCAGCTCCAGCTCAGCCCCAGGGGCTCAACCCCACCCTGCAGGGCTCCCAGAGGATGAGGTCTAATCACAACACAGCTTTTAACAGGTTACAGACAAGAAATGGGTCTGTAATCCCTTTTTTTTTCCTGGGATTTATAATCCATCTGCATAAAGCCACACGTTCCCGGTCCTTACACGCCCGCTGAGCCCCGCGTGGGAAAAGCACTTCCAGAAGCAACAGCAATATCAGAACCAGGGGTGGGCCCATAATATTATTTTCCTAACTGTTCCTTATTTTTCCAACAGTTCCTGACTTTCTATCCACTCAGCATCAGGCACTAGGAATGGAGGAATCCCATCTCCCAGAGCATCAGCCACGGAATCACAGAACAGCGTGGGTTGGAAGGGACCTTAAAGAGCACCCACTTCCACCCCCCTCCTGCTGGATTTACCCCTCCCAGGGCAGGATTTTCCCCCCAGTTCCCCCAGTTCCCACAGCCAACAACGCTCCAGCAGCCCCTCATCCCCATTCCATCCCCATTCCTCTCTTTATCATTAATATTCCCATTCAACACGTTCTCCCATCTGGATTTTAAATCAGCTGGATTTGCCCCCAGCCTGATGGGTGTTGGTACAATTATTTCCCTGGTTTTTTTTTTTTTCCTTTTTCCCTGCTCTGTTTTAAATACACAAGATTAAAAGGAGCATTTCTCTCCCTTTTTCCCATTCCTGTGCACGAATCCAAGGGCTTTTTGCTGCAGGCTCTGCCAGCCTGAAAGGGCTGTTGACATTTGTGGAATGTTACTGTTCACCTCTGATGTTACAAACTCTCTTATATGTAATTTTGTCTCAAAAAAATCCCAATAAAACAACAAAGCCTGGGATCCCAAACGCCTTCCAGGCTCCTCCGGAATAGCAAAGTAAGTTTGAGATGTTTCAGGCAGACCCAGTGCTGTATCCCAATGTCATTTAAAGGTTGGCACCTGATGTTTCCAGGGTTTCTAGATTCATTTCTCCCTCTCATTATTATTTACTGCCTGGATGGGGGGAGGGAATGAAGAAAAAAAGGGAAAAAAGAGAGCCAAAAAAAAAAAGAAAGAAGAAAAATAGGATTTTGTAGGATTTTGGGGGGTTTCTGATTTCTGCACCAGCTGCAAATAGTTGATGCTTGTGGTGGGGAGTGATGGGACCCAAAAAATCCTGGCTGGGTTTGCCCAGTGCCAATGGATGCCCAGACACCCACCCCACCATCCCACTGGTTCAGAAATAAAGCAGATAATTCCAGAATCCAGATCATCTTTCTTTCACCTTATAAAAATCCTCTGCAGCTTATCAGGCCCTGAGCCAACACAAGCTGGATTTTTTTGATAGCTGACGCTTATTTAAAAAAAGGAAAAGTCCTTAAACCGCTGTAATAATAGGGTGGGGGAAAAAAAATCCTATTTATTGAGTGGTAAGTACCACTCTGTGCCTGGAAACGTCCCTGGCCCACCTCACTGGAGGCAGAAATGGACTGTGCCCCGTGTGTGGCTGATCAATAATCGTCCCTCAGCCAAAATCTGGCTGTTTGGGGGTGTAGGGGACAGTGGCAGGCAGGTGACAGCTCCGAGGAGGCAGCCAGGCCGCGGCTGCTGCTGATTTTCCTGACACAGCTGGATTTCTTTCCGCTGTGCCAGGTCTGGGAGCCGTCACCTCCCTCCCTCGGGGTCTATTGGAGATGATCTGTGGTTTCCTCCCAGCCACTCCCTCTGGATGCTCCGAGTTCACCCTCCCGGGGGCCTCTTTAGGTGGGGATTTGTCACCAAACAGCATCACTGCTACCCAGGCAAGGGGGATTTGGGCTCCCCAGCACCCCCAGGCACAGGGATGGGTGTCACCCCCAGGGACAGTTCATCCCTCGGGCTCTGCTGCTTTCAGATGTGTCACCTGCTCCAAGGACCGGTTGGTCCCTGGGGAACACAACCAGAGGCTGTCCTGGCACGGACACGGTGCCAACCCCCAGCATAGCTCACCCATCCACATCCCACGTGTGCTGGGGCAGAGCCACAGCCCCTCACAGCCTCTGGAAGTTGGGGCCTGCAGGATAAATCCCTAGTTCCTGGGAAGGGAGGGGATGGAGGATGCTCTTCCTCACACCTCTGGGGGATGCTCTTCCTCACACCTCTGGGGATGCTCTTCCTCACACCTCTCAGAGATGCTCCCCCCATCCCAAGCGCTGTTACAACCACCCCACACCCCCATTTCATGCACCATCCAAACCCTCCACGAGCCCCTTCCCCTCCAGACACCCCAAAAGGGCTCCCTGTGCCCCCCACCCCGTGCCCCGAGGGGACGCCCCTTACCTGGTCGCGCATCCTCTCCTGCTGCCCCCGCAGCGCCAGCGCGTGCTGGGGGTACTTGCTCTTCAGGTGGTCCATGAAGGCGTCCCTCTTGCGCTCCATCTCCGTCTTCTGGAGGCCGGTGAGGGCCTCCAGGCTCTGGGCGGCGATGACGGTGTGCCGGCGCTCCGAGGTGTGCACCAGCCCTACGTTGGAGAAGCGCCGGGTGCCGTTGCCCAGGGTGCGGTACTCGCGCGGGTACTCGGCATCGTCCGCGGAGATCATGTGGCTGCTCGTCCTTTCGGGATCTGCGCGGGGCAGGGAGAGCACAGCGGGGTCAGGGCCGGCCCCCGCTGCCAAGGGGTGCAGATCTGGGGGCGGGGAGGGTTTATTTAGGCTAAGAGTGATGGCTGGGAGCGGGGTCACCCCAAAGGGGGATGCACGGGGAGGGGGTGAGGGGTTTGTCCCTCTGCGGTGGCAGCGGTGTCCCCGCTCCTGGACACGGGGCTGGCGGTGGCAGGAGGTGCAGGGGGCAAGGGGGGTGGAGGGGCTGGGGCAGAGGGGGGGATGTAAGGGCTGGGATACCACCAAAACCACAGAGTTCAGACCGAAACAGGAATAAAACAGCACAGACAAGACACAGGAACTGAGCACTGCTCCGAGGCACAGACAGACAGAGGACACGACACAGGACAAACCAAAAAGAAAATGAAATCAGGCTGGGGGAGGGGGGGGAGGTTTGTGTCTGCCCGTCAGGGTGGGCACTGTGCCAGGGGGGGCCAGGCCCCCCCATGCCCTGCCAGAGACCCCATCAGAGGGCTCAGCCCCCTGTCCTGCAGCTGCTTCTCCCAGAGACCAGCCCAGCCCACGGTACCAAAGCCAGCATTGCAGGGATGCTCAGCCCCATCCCAGCCCTCTCCTGGAGCTCAGCCCATCCCGGGCAGGGGGGCAGCCAGGGAGGGGGCAGAGGGGCAGGCAGGGGGTCACACGTGCAGCGAGGCAGAAGGGACTTGTCCCTTTTACTAATAATTCATTCCCTGCACGTTGTGACTGATTTCCAGGGAAGCTCAGTGGTGCTGAATGCCTGGAAGTCCCCACACGCTGCCAGTGCTTGGCACCTCCTCAGTGACTGCGGGACGAGGCCACCCCGCAGCCCTCAGCCCCTGCCCAGCCCCCTGCCCGCTGCAGAGCAGCTCCAGGGCACTCTCCCCCACCCCAAAAACCACTGTTGAGCGTCTCATGTCATCAGAGCCGGTGTCACCCAGCCCTGGGCTGGTCCCAGCTGCTGCTGTGCCTGCTCTGAGGCCATGGGCTGTCTTTGCCACCTCTAACTGGTCTGGCAGCGTGTGCTGCAGGGCTCCAGCGGGCTCAGGCTCCCCTTTCGCTCCCCTTTTTAACCTTGATCCATTATTCATCTCCCTCCTCGTCCTTCCCCCCCCACAATTCCCCTCCTTCCCGAGCTCCCGTTAAGCAAACCATAGAGGGTTTTTCCTTCTCCCTTAATTATTTATCAGCCCAACATATTAGCTTTGTATGGGTGTTATTAATGCAGGATGGGACTCCAGCGTGTGCTACGGACACAATTCCTCTGCTCAAGGTCGTGCAAGGGGCTTCGCTACGAGCCAAGCGGGGACATCACGCGCTCAGCAAATGCCACAGGGACATCCCAAAGCCTGATTCCCACTTCCTCCTCCAAAAATCAACCCGTCCAGCTGCTCTCCTGTCACCAAACGTGACCTTGGCCAGGCTGTCACCCCCTTTCCCAGGAGACAGGGGGAGAGCAGCAGCTCCCGTCCCTCCCCAGCTCTCCCCGCTGGGTCCCTGTGTCATGGTGGGGGTCACAGGGGCACATCCACAGAGCCCAAAACATCCTGAGTTCCCCCAGGGAAAGCAGCACAGGGAGATGGCAGAGGGGACACCTCGGTCCCACTGCTGGCAGTGGGGAGAGAGGGGTAAGGGCATCGTCCTGGGGTCCCACTGGCTGCAGAGCCGCTGCCAAACCCGGCACTGACGGGAAACACGGATGGAGGAACTTGTCCTGAATGCCCCAACCCAGCCCTGGGAGCTGCTTGCTCATTCTCCCCTCATGTAACAGCCCCCTAACACATTTTTCTCCCTGGGGTTTGCTGATACCAAGTGCAAAACTCTTTCCCCCCCCTCGTCCGGTCGCTCAAGCACTTGTTCCGTGACCACAAAGCAGCAGAGACGTGTTTAGGGGGCAAACACCCAACACCCAGCCCAGCCCTGGCACTGGCAGTGCCCTGGAGCACCCCTGGGAGCAGCCAGGGTGCTCTCAGCTCAGTTTGGGGCAGTGGGACTCCCAGCACGCCCCGAACAGCCAATGTGCCCAGAGGGTCCATCCCCACCAAACCAGCCCCTCAGCAGAGTTGGATCCTGAGCACCACAGGGACTCCCAGCCTTGTCCCATCCCATTGGAACGGTGTGTCCGGGAAGTCTAGGAAAGAGGGATGGATGAAGGGTCCCCCTGACAGCTCCAGCTGCAGCAGTGACAGGGCTGGGAGGAAGGAGCTGCAGCTCCTCTCCTCGCTGGGGAGAGCAGCTCGAGGAGGCCTCGAGCTGGGGGAAGGTGCAGGGACAGGGATCTGGGGGGTGTGAGAGGGGCTTGTTCCCTGCAGCCACCTCCACCAACCCTCCACCAGCCCCAGGTTTAGCAGCCCTGGGATGAGGCCCCGTTTCCAGCTCCTTCCCACCCTCCTCCTCCTCCCGCTGCCGAGCCATGATCAGCATGCAGCTCCCTGCTCCCTAATTACATGCTCCGGGAGTGGAACGCGCCAGCTCTCGCTGTTCCTCTGCCGACTGCTAAAAAGGATGATTTGAAAAGCCCTGCACAAGCTGCACAGGGGTCAGGGCGAAGCTGGAGCCCCTCGGGGGCTCTTCCACCCCCGGCTGCGCCGCATCCGCTCCCGCATCCATCCCCAGCGCCAAGCAGGGAGAGGCAGCCCCGATGCCACGAACCCCGTGATCCGAGAACCCCTCCAAGGCAAGAGGAGGAAAAGCCACTGCAGACACGTGTCCTGTCCTCATGCCAGCCACCTTTTCCCTCCGGATGTCCCACCCGGAGCGGGCAGAGACGGTCGGACAAGGAAACAACCACCAGCTGGGATACGGGGGTGGCTCTTTGGGAAAGGGACCTTAAAACACTCACAGCTGTGATTCCTGGCACTATCCATGAGAAAAAGGTGCTAATCCTTCCCTCGTGGACTCACCTCAAGGGGACAATTCCATCCCGCCACCCCAAAATCCCCCCACAAAGTTGTTTCTCCTCCTCCCCACGGCGCAGGGATGCCGGAGCAGTGGTACCCACACACGGGCTGCCCACAACAGCAGCAGCAGCAGCACATCCCTGGAAAGTGCTTCCCGAGGCTGCTTCCAAGTAGGTCACTGGGGTGGGAGAGCGGGTGGCCGGAGCCCGCACAGGGTGCCCACCTCGGCAGTGCCCCAGCCCAGCCCAGCAGGGCGTCCCTGCAGGATGTGTCCCCCCCAGGGGACCGTCCCATCGCTTACCCGCGGGTGCAGCTCGGCTCCCACGGCGGCCGGGAAGCTGCTCCGGCGGGATGGGCACAGCAGCCCCCCGGGGCTCTGCGGGGGCTGCAGGCGGCTCCTTGGCCGAGCGCAGGGCTCCCACGACAGCCAAAATCCCACGGTAAATCCTGGCCAGCCCCTCTCCGAGCAGCGGGAGGTTAAGGGAACGCGGTTCTCTTTGCCGATTCATCCATCCATCTTCCTCACCTGCCAGCAGAGGTGTCACCTGCGCCGGGGCACAGCCCCGCGCCGCTAGCAGGGTCCGGCCATCGCCTGCTTCCCGGGAGAACAGAGGCACCGGGCTCACCGGAGCCTGACCGCGCTTTAGGTGACGCTCTTCAGGGTGGGAAAGGCCCCCAAAAACCTTCCCGGCGCTGCGGGCGCTGCCCCGCGGGAGCCGCGCCGGGTCGGAGCGGCTGCGGGCTCGGCGGCGCGGTGCGCTCGGGTCCCCCCGCCAGCAGCCTGGCAGGGCTTTATCATCAAAAGGATCTCTCTCAAACACAGTTTATTACTGCAGTTTCATAAATCTTCATGAGGCAGCAAAGCTCGCGCGGGTCGTGAAAGCGCCGGCACTTAGCGGAGCATGAAAAATCGGCCGAGAAAGCGCCCGTACAAAAAGGGGCGAGGGGAGGGGGAGCGGAGAGTGCATCTGGGGAGAAAGGCAGGCGAGAGAATGGAAGCCCCTCGGAGCGATGCGGCTCCCCCGCACCCGGCCATTAAGGCAGCCGGAAGAGCGGGATGCACTTGCTTCCTCCCAAAGGCTGCACTGCCGCACTGCCAGCGCTGCCTGCTCAGCACCCACGGAGGCTGCCCAGCACCCAGAGCCCTGCTCGGCACTAACCCCTTCCTTGCCACACCACAGCCAGGCTCCCAGGGATGGGAGGGGTGGATGGGAAGCGCAGGGAGAGCCTGAAAGGCTCCCGCGCCGCTGCACTTAACTCATGTTGAGCTGCAGAAATGCCCACCCCTTCCCGAGCCGGGACCCGCTGGGATAAAACCACAGAATGCTGGAATGGTTTGCTTTAGAAGGCACCTTAAAGTTCCACCCCCTGCCGTGGGCAGGGACCTTCCACTACATGAGGTTGCTTGGAGGCACCTTCAGAGCCACTCCTGTCCCTGGCTCAGCCACGCTCTGTTTGCACTCATTTTGGGACAGTCAAGTGCCCTCCAGGCCCTGCCCCAGGCTCACCCTCACAACCACATCCAAAGAGTGCTGGGAGCTGCCCAGCTGCCCGTGGTTATCCGACTGAAGCTGTGCCCAGGAGCAGGGACGAGGCAGCCCATACACCAGGGGACACACAAATGTCCTCCACCCGTGTCACCGCCATGTGCCGAGCGGGTCCAGCCACCACCAGATCCGATCACTTAAAAATCAACCCTCAGAGAACAAAACCCCTGTTTTTGGTTGAGCCCACGGGCTGTGGATGCCCCTGTCCCATGGGAATGCCAGAAGCTGGGAGTGAAAGCTGAAGGCGATGGGGCTGCAGCTTCCCCACTGTCCCCTTGCTCCTGGGCTGATGCACACCCTCCACCAAACCTCCTGGGAAAAGCCAGGTGATTCCAAGACCACCCATAAGGCTCTCCCGTCTCCTCTCCCCATCCCTGAGGATCCCACAGCACTGCCTGTGGCTTTCACAGGCTCCCTGCTGTGCCTTTCACTCCCAAATTCAAGTGGAACCAAGGAAAATAAAACACACCCCAACTGTTTCCTCAGGAACTTCCCAGCTGGGTTAGCACAGACCCCACAGCCCCGGAGCCAGGATGCCACTTGGCTTCTGGGCAAGGGCAGGGGCACAGTGCCCGAGCACGGTGGCAGTCCGGGTGTGATCCTGCCTGTTCCCAGCCTCTACGTGCCCTGAATGCTGCCTGCACCCTCCGTGCATCCCACCAATCCCAGCAGGATTGGTGCAGGGACAAGGAGTCCGAAGCCACTCCGTGTCCTGGTGCACACTGGCTGCTCCCAGCTGGAGCTCGGAGAAGTCCAGCTGGCACCTCTCCACGGCGCTGCCCTGACAAGCAGCTCCTTCACTTTGGAAGCGGAGAAACCACCGGATAAATTCTCATGTCATTTGTCAAAACCCAAACTGAAGGAGAAGTCCCATCTGGCCGGCCCTGGAAAAAGCAGCAGCCACTTCCCACCTCGCCGGGTGTTATCGCGCCCACGCCTGCACATGGGAACGGGAGACGAGTTCACCTCCCCGCTCCTGTGGATGGCAGTGCCAAGGGAAGGGCCGGCACACCTGGATGCTCGCTTGGAGCTCGGAATGCGGGAAGGAGCTGCCCTCAGTCAGCCCAAGGGAAAACAAGCGGGACAGGGGGAGAGACGGCGTGGGAAGGACGGCTGAGGAAAATCTTCCCGCTGCCTTCAGCTTCCTCCCAGACCTCTGGCACGAGGCCGAGCCGGCGGCACCCTCTGAGCACGGAGAACATCCCTGCCCGGGGACCGGAGCAGGACGGAGCCCTGCGTGCCCTGGCAAGAGGCGGCAGCATCCTCAGCTGGCAGGGAAGGCACAGTGGCTGGGGAGGTGCCAGCAGGCAGATAAAAATAAAGGAGAGGGGAGGATGGCCGGGGCCAGGCTCGTCACAGCTCCAACACGGGCCACGCCGTGGGCTCGGCTCCCACCCACGCGGCTGCCACGATCCCAGGCGGCACAGCCAGGACCTGGCATGGCATGGCATGGCATGGCATGGCATGGAATGGGATGGGAATAGCCCAGACGGCACCAGCTCCGAGCCTGAGGGTCCCCCTGGACCGCAGAAAGGAGAGGGAAACTGAGGCACCAGAGAGAGGCACATGCAGAGAGAGCGGGTCCAGCTGCAGGGGGGTGCTGAGAGGGGAGGGGGTCAAACCCAGGGTGGGAGCAGAGGGAAATCACCATCAGTACTGAGCACATCCCAGAGGGACCAGGAGTTTTCCCGGAATTTTGGCAGCCCCTGCTGGCTCCCGCTGTCGTGTGGCTGCCTCCGTGCAGGGCGTGTGTGGACGTGGGGCAGTGACTCACCCGCAGTCGTGTGCTGAAGCAGAGCCAAGTCTCCCTGTGAGCCAGGTCCCCCCCTGATCCTCAGCCTGGTAGGAGAAGCCTTTGGGATGAGCCCAAGGCAGCAGCAGGAGCCGGACACCCAGAACCCCGGAGCTGCTGGTCTCTATCCCCCCTTCCCCTAGAGCGGGGGGGGGGGGGGATTTTGCTGCTCAGAGACCCCACCCTGCCCTGCAGGTCTCCCAGGAGGATTCCCAGCACCAACCAGTGCCACACTTTGGGATCAGCCCCAGGGACACCACCATCCCCACCACGGGAAATGGTCACAGTCCAGATCCCCGGTGCTCCCACCTTGAGCCGTTCAGGCAAATTGCTCTGGAAATCAATTCCAATCTGTCAGGCACCAGGAAGGGGATAAACTGCCCCCTCAAGGCACCAAATCGATGGTTCCTCTTCACCCAGAGCAGGGGGAGGGAGGGCAGAGAGGCACAGGGACACCTTCCACTATCCCAGGTTACTCTTCCAGGGATCCAGGGGCAGCCACAGCTTCTCTGGGCAACCTGTGCCAGGCCCTCCCCACCCTTACATTAGAGAATTTTTTCCTAACCTCTGATCAAGCCTCAACAAGTCCACGGGGAGGAAGGCTGAAGGAGGGGGTGCAGAGCCCCCCATGGCAGGGCAGGCAGAGTGGGACGCTCCTGTTGGAGCCCGGGCGTGCAGCGCGCCCGCCCTGCGGCTCCTCGTGGATGCACTCGGTGCAGTTTTCCCAGGCAGCTGATCAGTGCCCTCATCTCCTGCCATCAGTGCAGTCATGCTCACCACACACTCGCCGGCGGGAGGCCGGAGCCTCCTGACAGCAGCTCCCACCACGTGCGGCGTCGGAGCAAATCCAGCTGATGGATCATCACGGAGCCCAGGGAAGGGACCACCCCCCCAGCATCCCAAGGAAGCCACTAAGAGAAGAATCCGAGCCAAACCCCTGGTGTTTCCAGCCCTTGCCCCACAGTCTGGAGTCCCCAGAGAGCTCAGCTCCATGAGGAAGCGCTCACGGGAAGGGGATTTTTCCTGGCTCGGAGCGCCGGGGCCCACGGCAGGGACAGCCACACCACACAGCCCAGCACAGCACTTGGCCCATCTCTGCCTTGGCATGAGGGACCCAACTCTTTCAAAGGCACTGCCACCACCACGATGTGCTTGGAGCCACATCCCAGAGCTCAGCAGGTCCAGCCACGGCACCGAGCCCCGTTCCCGCAGCCTCCGGCCAGGAATTGGGGGGCACTGCCTCTCTGGGAGACTCCTGCCAGCAGCTGGGGGATGTTGGGCTCTGGCAGCTGCGGGGGAGAGGCTGGGAAAAGCTGGGCTGGTGTCACAGAGGGGCTCAGGAGCCCAGGAACGCTCCAAACGGGGGTGTGCAGAACAGACCCTATTTATAAGCGCACAGGTAGCACGTTGGTGGTTGGTCACAGCCTGCCGTGCCAGCCTGGTTAGTCACAGCTAGTTAAAAATCAGAAATGCTGGGAAAAAATATCTCAGATCCACGTCTAAAGCCTCTCAGATGCAGGAAAACACACTCAGGAATGGAAAATATGGGGTAGGATCCAGCAGGGCTTCACTGTCAGCCTGATCAGCGTGCACAGACCATGGGGACAGGGATGCTATGGGGACATGTGACATGTCCCCCCTGTCTGCAGGGCACGAGGGCACTGAGCTGCCCAGTCCTCACAGGGCTCCCTGCCTGCTACCACATCCCACCTCGGGGTGGGATGCTGTAGGTGACACGAGGACAGGGCCACTGTGCTGTCCCAGGGGCAGGTGCCACCCCTGCCCGCCGGCACTGAGCAAACCCTCCTGCCCTGCTGGGGCACATTGGAGGGAAAACCACAGCCTGTCCAGCCTGCAGCCCTCCCACCAGCGCCAGTCAGAAGCTGTCCAGGCAGTGAGGTTTAGTCAAGCAAAAGGAGGGCAGCAGCAGCTGCCTCAGCCCTGCCTCCTCCTCCCACCAGTGCTGGGCAGCCAGCCCAGCCCAGTCCAGCCCAGCCCAGCCCAGCCCAGCCCAGTCCTCTCCATCGGCCCCTCCTGGGGCAGAGCCCACCTGTGTGGGGCTGGGAACATCCCCAGCCTGCTCCATTGTCCCCATCCAGGTCAGAGCCCACCTGTGTAGGGCCAGGATCCTTCCCTACGCCATCCATCCCCTCCTGCAGCAAAGCCCACTTGAGAGGGGCTGAGACCCTTCCCAGGCTGGGCTATCTGTGCCCTCCCAAAGGCAGGGCCCACCCATGTGGGGCCGGGATCATCACCCAGCCCACACCATCCATCACTTCCCAGGGCAGGGCCCACCCATGTGGGGCCGGGATCATCACCCAGCCCACATCACCCACGCCCTCCCAGAGCAGGGTCCACCTGTGTGGGGCTTGGATCACCCCCACACCAGGCCATCCATCCCCTCCTGTGAGGGGTTGCAATCATCCCTAGCTCACACCATCCACCTCTCCCCAGGGCAGAGCCCACCTGTGAGGGGCTGCAATCACCCCTCAGCTCACGCCATCCAACCCCTCCTGGGGCAGAGCCCACCTGCGAGGGGCTGGGACCAGCACCCCCCAGAGCCTCCAGAGCCTGCAGCCCTCCCACATCCACATTCCCCCCCTGCACCAGTCCATACCCAGGAGCAAGGCAGCGAGCCGGTAGTCCCCGGGCTCGGAGGGTCTCCGCGGCTCCCGCAGCCTCGGCACGGCCCGGGGGGCAGCGCCGGGGCGCTGCCGTGCCCAGCGAGGCAGCATGGTGGGCGCCCAGGCGG